TCCCACCTCATTCGACGCCTTTCGGATGGCTAGAAACGCCTCGGCAGAACCAGCCGTTCCAGCCCACGGGGCAGGTAAAGTTCTGCATTTTTCACACAAGGTTGACAGAGCAGTGAGGCACCAAGCTGAGAGGAGTGGATTTCCCCCGACACCGCAAATTACCCATTAATCTAAATCCCCCTCCCCTCCCCCCCCTCTCCCTCTCCCTCTACTTCCTACTCCTCCTTTCATGCCTGACCTATGCTAACATCCACTGACCTGGAAAATTTCTGGCGAGTCCAAGCCACCACGAGCGGCGTTGGCCCTCGCGTCGTCCCGCAAACAGCAGAAATATTGAGCCAATTACCAGATTATTATCTGCCGGCGGTGGAGGGGGGGGGGGGGGTCGCGCGGCGGGTGTGTGTCCGCGCCTGCCAGGGCTCAATGCAAGAGGAAAAAATTCCATCAAAGGCCGGCTGGGGAGAAGCGGTCAGCCCTCATGCCCACTTGCTTCTGTGTTTTCCCGACTCCCGTCGACTGGCCGACTCTGGCTTCCGTCCAGAATCCCTCCGAAAGGTCAAGCACAACACCAGGGAACGGCCCAGTCGGAGCCCATGGCTTGTTAATGTTTCGCCCCTTTCTGATTCATTTCATGCCATCGCGCTATTCATACATCTGATTTACAGCAACGAAGGTCTTTCGGTGCTCTCCCGCTTTTCTTGGCTTTCATATAATAGTCAGACGTGAGTCATAGCCCGTACACGATGGCGAGTTGGTTCGCAAGTAAGAAAGAGAAAAAAAAACCTCGATCAGTCAGATGCTTTATTTCAAAGTGGTTACTTTATGGGCAAGTTTACAAAGGAGGCATTGAGCGCTGCCTGTTACTGTGTACACTGGATCAGATTTTTTGGAACAGGGCTGCCAGACAGAGTCTTGGCACCGTTTTCCAGGTAGTTAGTTCCATATGAGACGGATGACGTACAAATTACAGCATGCGCAACGCTCTCTCATGTACACAAACTGTTTGTTTATGTCTCTAAACATCTGAGCCGTTCGCGATATTCTCGTCTGAGTCCAGCATTTTAAGCCACGCCAAAGCAGTGAATTAGATTTAAAGGGAATCCCCGAGCCGACGCACAGCACTTCTCGTTTTTCCATTCGGGAGCTGCGCCTCGGGAGCGCTCTGTGCTTTAGTTTAGCCGGAGCACCATGACACCGAGGCAGAATCTGGAATGTCTGTAAGTCCTGAGCACTGGGACTTTTTATCACCGCTTACATCACCTGCAGGACTGCTGCTGCTAAAGTCTGCTCTGGAATCAGCTCCAACTGAGGAAAGGAAGGAAACTCTTGTGTGTGTTTCACTCTCAGTAAAAACCAAGTGGCAGTCGCTCCCTAAAAGTGAAGCATTTAAGCATCTTGCATCCTTGGTGTAAGCTGATCATGACTGTGTTTTTTCCTTGACATCTCAAACCTCCATTTTTACACCAATCTGGAATCCATCAGAAGGAAATATTCCTCTAGAATAGATGGACAAAGTTAGATTCTAACAAGCCTAACCACTTGCATACTGGCTGGAAATTCAGCTAATCTAATGACATTAATGGTGAACAGACATTCTGCCTCCACCAACATCAATGTGTGGGAGATCACCAGTGAGGTAATGGTGCAAACAAATTGCAGTCTGGTTAAAATTATAAATGGCTTTCTAAGTAGCTACTAAGTGGTCTTCAAAAGCCTTAAACTGACCTGAGGGAAACTTCCATGGGAGTTCGCTGGTGGGGATGGCAGACACTGGGCCAAGCTAGTAGGTCACAAATACTGTACAACTGTTACGATTCCAGTCCACCCCCCCCTCCCGGGTGTGGATGAGATGCGTCAGTCTGGACTTATTATAACCTTGTGTGTTCAAAACAGCAACATTTTACTCATCTGTTAACAAAAGCAAACATCTACACCAAAGACGAGCAACCGCATTTAAAATCAAGGCCCGTTCGTGCTTACAAAAGCAAACGAAAATCACTCTGCTGGCACACAAGCTCTCATCTGAAAAGTTAAAAAGGGAAATTAAAGGCTACGCGCGCACACAAACACACAAAGTTAAAAGGTTTGTTGTGGTTTTAGGTGAATCCAAATGTCGATCTGGTGCGCCCACATCCACACTCAGTAAAGTAGATGAATGACTGAGGCCCAATTTCAGCCGATTCACAAAAAAAAAGATAAGTCCTTGTTGGAATTTCATCAGCATGATTAGCACAAACCCGCACATTAACACAAAAACGTACATTAAAGTAGCAAAGGATGTGGTTTAAAACAAAAGGCGGCTGCCTTGTTGTTGTACTGGGTCACAGCACAGCCTCCTGACCCGGAGAGTCCCCCTCCGAGTTCCACCGCTGTGAGTACATCAACCACAGAGCAGCCTGGATGCACACCATCAAATATGGATGCCTCCTCCAGTACCGACTCATGTCTTTTTCATAACACAATAATGTTCTCTTTTGCACTTTGAAGTCAAAGGCTCCTCCGAAAGTCAAGTTGTTCCCAGGTCAGCAGGATCCCGTCGTCGGCAGGAAGCGAGGCAGACCACCCCCTCGGTTTATCAATAATTAGCCTCCGTGCTCTTAATTATTGACCGGCCGGTGTGGTGGTCGCTGCATTCCCAGAAGACAGCGGTTTTGTTCTGGATGCGCGTCGGTGTGACGAGGCAGAACAAACGCGACAGGAAAGGAGTTTGTCGCTCTTTACACAGCTGCCAGAGAGGTCGCAGACACCAACAGGACCCCGGCGGTCAGGCAGCGGTCAGTGTAGCGGGGCGGCGTCGGGACACCCGGCGCACCTGTGTCGACACTCTCGCTCTTATCGACCGCTTCCTTCCTGTTCCTCTCCCGCTGACACCACCAAGGAGAAGCTCCATTCAGCACTCAGCCACGGAGACCGGATGCGTTCTGACTTTAGCCTGGAGGTGTTGGTGTAAGGCTTTTAGATCCGTTTCACTCCGCACATGTCTTCAGACCGTAGACGTTTTTCAATCCTGGAACAAAACAAGCAAAAAAATAAATACAATTGTCATTGAAAATTAAATTATACCTTTGTTCGAATTTAAGACTTTATGATGCATCAGCGATAAAAAAAGAATTATATAAAGGCAGCTGTTTGAACTCTACCACATGCAATATTACACGTTGCCTTTAATAATTGATCAAAAACGGTGGCAGAATGCAGTCGCAGTGTGTAAAAAGGCCTACTTACTGCTTAGGAATGAAAAGGGTAAGTTACCGCTAACAAAAGCAGCTTGGTCAGCGAGCCTTTGCTGGTCCGGAACATTCTGGTGGGTTTTAATTCATGTGCCATGAACACAAAAGCATAAGCGATGACCCTAAATGCTTAGATGGGCATTTGTTGCCAATCATCCATTAGGAAACCGTCAAAAGCTCGAGTATTGAGGATCCTGGCCTGTTTTTGCAGGCTTAAGCAGCCTGCAGACAGCAATCGATCGATTGATCCAAAGGTGCAACACAATATTAAAACAACAGCCAGTACGGACGCACAAAAGCACCACCCTGCACAAGAAACCAATCAAAGGAAGGGGGATGTGGAGGCTACTGAATCATGTGACTTGCACTTAGTTTGTCACATGATGTTTACATTTTACTTGTAGAGTTAGTGTCCATCTAAGTTCCACTTAATGAATTTTGAGGCCTTCCAAGCTTTAATATGCCGATACATTAAACCTTAGAAACTAAAAGAAGCCAGGATTTGTTCCATTACCAAAGGAAGACATTTTCCTTTATAAAAAATGAGCATATTAAGGTATTGAGGGTCAAATTTGATGGACGAAAAACAAGTAAATTACAAGTAGGCGTAGAGAAACTACATTTAAAACTTCCCTTTCATTCCGGTGCAGTGAAATGCATTTAGTTAGAAAAAGCTCTCGACCGAGCTTTGTGTTGCATTCACTGTGCAGACGGAGGCTGAGTGGCTGTCGGGCCCACTCAAAGAACACTCCTTCCTGCAGCCTGTTGCATCACAAGCGTGGAAACCTCACACGCCGTTGGTGGTTTGAGGTCAGGAGACGTTGATATCGAAGCTGGAGCTCTGTTTGGGTAAAGTTTGGCCACAGCAAACGGGCAGTTAAACGGAGCCTGACGGTCCAGAGAAGGGAGGAAAAAATGGCCGTCAGACTTTCTTTTGACGGGACGCGGATGAGAAGGCTGGAGAATCCCCCCCCTCCTTCACCGTATCGCTGCGTCCGTCGCACGTGGAAAACTTTTCCTCCTCCTCGGGAAGAGCCGGGGCCCACTTAGCCGGAGCCGGCCGGCTTCCTGCTGGAAGCAGCCTCAGCCGAGCGGATGAATAATTGAGGCTCGCATTCTGTACTTTGGCGGATTCGAGGCTGTATTCTGCAGAGACTCTAAATGGTAGAGGGAGGGCGCGTTAATCATTCATGGGCTGCTTTTACCCGCTTTACTTAAGGTCACTGTCCTGACGGCGGCCGGGCCCAGGCAAAGTGGGGGGAAAAGGGGAAGTGGAAGCAGAGGGAAGGACACGAAAAGAAAGACGCATATAAGAACAGAGGCGATTGAAATGAATCCATGTTGGACTGTACGGTGGCCCGAACCCTCATCCTCAAGGATTGTAGCTTCACTGTGACGAAGACGTTTAGATTTTAGTTCTTACTCCGGTTTCCTCAGCATCCACTACAGCCCCAGTCCACGATCAAGGGAGGAAAGACCGTCTTCTTCCCGCGACACTGATCAATTCCCAAATCCGTCCTGTTTAAATGCCTCCAGGGGAAGATTCCCCCTGGCTTTCATGACTAAGCGACACCTCCAGAGGCGTCTTCCACAGTAACACGACAGAAAAAAAAACACACAAACAAGCCGCCGTTCACTGTTCGTCAACATCTGTGCCAGAGGAAGTCCTCCAGCTGAGATGTGACTGACAGTCTGTAAGCTGTGAATAGCAGATATCTCACATCTCTTTTTTCTCTTTTTTTACCCTTTGGTTCCTGTTTTAGAGAGCTGATGCCGAAGACCCTGGAGGGCCAGATCACCATGGAGAAAACGCCCAGCTACTTCGTGACCAGAGAGGCTCCGGCCAGGATCTCGGCCATGTCCAGGGACACCAAGCTGATCGTGGTGGTGCGGGACCCGGTCACCAGGGCCATCTCCGACTACACGCAGACGCTGTCCAAGAAGCCCGACATTCCCTCTTTCGAGAGCCTCACCTTCAAAAACAGGACTACGGGGCTCATCGACACCTCGTGGAGCGCCATCCAGATCGGCATCTACGCCAAGCACCTGGACAACTGGCTGCAGTACTTCCCCTCCGAGCAGATCCTGTTCGTGAGCGGCGAGCGGCTGATCAGCGACCCGGCCGGAGAGCTGGGCCGCGTGCAGGACTTCCTGGGCCTCAAGAGGATCATCACCGACAAACACTTCTACTTCAACCAGACCAAGGGGTTCCCGTGCCTGAAGAAGGCTGAGGGCAGCAGCAAGCCGCACTGCCTGGGCAAAACCAAAGGCCGGACCCACCCCAACATCCACCCCGAGGTGGTGCAGAGGCTGCGGGACTTCTACCGGCCCTTCAACATGAAGTTCTACCAGATGACCGGACGCTTTTTCGGCTGGGATGACTGAATGTGTCTTTTCGCGTCAGAAATGATGGGGACGGGGGGGTAGGGCCACACACGATCGAGCGAGAATCTCCGATAATGAGGATAAACGTTTTCTATTATGAGAATAAAGTTTCAGCCGTTATCACTTGTTGTAGGAATTCGTTTTTAGGAACAATTGATATTTTGGCCAAAAGAGATCATCAAAACCAGTAAAGCTTTCCCTGAATGTGAGTGTCATCCAGCCTTTCGGTGTCCCACGTGCACTACACATGCACTACACAGCCTCCTATTATTTTAACACCAGCACCGGCAACACACAATTTGAGTGTTTTTATTTGAAATTTGTAAGAAGCTGTATGACAGAAGTATTGATCCATTTCTAGTTTAATGATTTTCTTCTCTTCCTTTTTTCCTTTTTGTCTTTCTTTTTAATCTAAAGATTCAGAAAACTATTGATCCCAAAGCATTTGAACGATAATAACACATAAACAGATAAATAGACAAAAGACTTTGAACATCATACAAGGTTCTTAAAAGAAGTCTCGTGGTGACAGAGACTGACGGCTGAAGGGATAAAAATATCAAATAGCCTTTTTTTTCCCCCACTTTAAACGCTGGACAGATGCCAGCAAAGTGTGGCAGAAGAGATTTGGAATAGTTTTTGCTCTGTAAGTCACTCCAATAATGGCGTAGAAGCCTTTTGACAACACTGTAAAGATTCTTCTTACCCCTCACAGAAAGTCTGTTAAGCCACTAACAGAAAATGATGAAAGGCATTAGATCGAAATTTACGATATACATCAAAGAAAACACTCACTGGCACAGAATCTGTTGACCCCCCCCAAACAACCAACTCAGTATTTTCTGCTGTAATAAATTATTAATTTGTACTAACATGTATTTCTATTTTGAACATCCTTGTCATAGATTTATTTATTTAATGACTATATATCTCTTTTTTGCCAAAATATCTCAGCATTTATTTTCAGGGTTAAAATAATTCAAAATGTCTGGTTCTTTATCCTCACGAGATACAAAATTTGCGGAAACTTTTTCGATTATTCTCAGAGGCTTTTTTTTCTCACCGTCGGTGTACCTTCCACTCCATTTTTTTACTCTAACCTCAAGCAATAAGAGGCTGTCGCGGGAGAGGAAAAAGGCCCAATCTCCTCAGATATGCAATACGTCCCTGCTCCACTCTCCATCCACAGAGCTTCTTCTAATCCATCCTCCCATTTACTTTAGATTGAGTTTTTGAGGGATTTGAGTTACGTCCCCAAAGCACTATCTAAAGAAACCTTTTTTTTTGTCCGTTTGAAAGTCTTGGATGTAAAGCAGAGGTGACTGTACACGCTGGCCCTTAAAGAGATTGAGTAAATCACATTAGATTTATGGGGCTTGTGATAAAAAAACCCTTTACTGAGTGAGTTGATGCCATATTTTGAACAAACACGGAAGGCAGCCGTCACATTTAAGCGTGTTTGTTACAAAAAGTGCGAAGATAAGAGAAAAATATTGTATTTTTTCAACGTATTTATTCAAAAGGTGCATTTTTGGAATATTTTGAATAACTCAGATCTCCCGTTTGCTGGTTTTGTTTTATGCTCGACATTAAAACATCTCAGTTACAAGTCATTCATTTCAAGTTGCGTTTGTTTATGCAGGGACGAATCGGCCTTCAGAGAATCGAACCGTGGAGCCGTTCCCACTGTTAAAGCTTTTTCTTTTTTTAAAGCTGTTGTGTTTTAAAGGCACTCCTTGAATAAAAGATGTTCTATATATATATATATGAAAATGGATCTGTGTGGTTTGTGTTTTTCATTTTACGTAGATTTGAAGGAAGTGGTTTAAAAGGATGGCGAGCAGCCAGCAGCAGAGTCAGAACGCCCCTGTCCTATCTCCCCTCTCACACCTTGACATATTGTTCCTGCTTATCTCCGTCCAGCCTCCCGGGGCGCACCGTCGAGAGAGGCGGTCAGTGTTTTTACAGGGCGCCGGACGTCTAAAAGCTTTATTCTGACGCTCTCTCAGCACGCAGCGGACCAATCGGACAGGCTTTTCTGACCCTTTTAGAGCGGCGTCAACGGATCTGGAGTCACAGTCAAAAGTGTGTCCAGCCTGCATGTGGCGGGGTAAATATTCTAATACAGCAGAAGGTTATGACAGCAATGGAAACACAAAATGTTCATCAGCTAAATCTTCTAAATCAGCGAAATCGTTTCAGTTTGTCCAAAGGAACAAATCCAAGCATCAAAGCCCATCTGGCTGTACTGTGAACGTACAATAAAGTGGAAAACTGAAGCTTTTCTCACCGTAACAATGCCAACAAAACACCTGATATTCCAACCCATGCAATCAGGCAAGCATCATCCTCAGCCTCATAAAAAAAATAAACCAATATGGTCATTTTCTGAGGCCATTTTCAGAGTTTTAGAGGAGGTAGTTGCCATCAAACATGTCAAATCTGGTTTTAAATCTTAATTGGACCTGTTGTTGTCATGGAGACCAGCAATCGCGCCGTCACCCGAGCCCCATTCCCTCATTCTCACACATCCATACTGCATTTTCTTAGTTTGCTGAGTGATCTATATTTTTTTCCTTTTTCTCTCCTTCACACACACGCTCACACACACTCACACACACACCTACACGCCAATAAGCGCATCTCATGATGGATGGGTTCGAGTTTTGCCCAAGGACATTTTGACACACGGAGCAGGGAAGGATCGAAGCAGCAAACTTTGGCAGACGTTTGCTCCCTCACCCCCCACCCCCCCCCACCCCTCCGAGCCACATCTTACAAATACACGCTCGTGCTTAACGTGTCGGACGATCCTCGGAGTGGCTCGAGACTTTACGTATGAGCAGTTTATTACCAACAACTTGTTTATTGTACCTGAAGGAGCTCTCTTTCCTCTCCCTGTCTTTGCTTTGCTCTTCCCCTGCGTGTGTTTGTTTTCTTAGCTCTTGACCTTTTCCTCCCACAGTCTGCAGACTGATTTTTTCCTTTAAAAAACTACTATGACTGGCACTTTGCCGGAGAACTTCCAGAGGAGGAGACCTGCTAACAGCCTGCCGCTTTTTGAAGTTTAAGCCGACTGCCGGTGCCCTGAAATAATGTCGGAAATCCAAGAACCTGCTCAAATCCACAGGGGCCGATGTACATTTGTTGACTTGTTGAGTTGGCTTGTTATTCCTCCCCCCGAGCGGGTCTGCGGGGCCTTCCCGGTGACGGTTTCCTCAGATTAATAAGCAGAGGCAGTTTTTCCTCCGTATGCTCGGTTCTCCGAAACTATGAAAGCCAAAATGGAACGGCGGCACTTGCGGTGAGACGAGTAACAGGCCGCTCCGTGTCAGAGCGCATTCAGCTCAGCAACAACAACACAATCCTGGACTAAACCTGAAGCTTGTCAATTGGGAAAGGAGTGCCTATTCAACTTTTTCCCTCTCTTTTTTCTTTTTCTTAAAGACTTAAATTTACGGTGGTCTTTTAAAACTTTTCTATCCAGTTTCATTTGTTTTTTTCTGCCTCCATATGCCACTTTTAGTCATTTTAAGGTTGCAGCATCCTCTTGTTAGATTCTTGATCACCTGTTTGGAGGCGCCTGGGCACAATTATCTGCCACCCATTTCTCTCCAAACCCCCCAAAACCCTCCCGTAATCCAGGCCCACATTTCCACACAGCGCTAGTTGTTTCAGAGGCACGCGAAAAGACGGCTGGACGGTATGCTAACAACAGCAAGCACGTTGGAAAACAAGGGGTCTGAGCGTGTGTGCGTGCTTGTGCATATCAAGTGCCCAGAGCGTCAAAGCCCATGTAAAACGATGAAGTAAAGGGATTAGAGAGGGACCGCTTTGAAGAGGAAGGCAGCAGTGAAAACGTTTGCACACACCCAGACCGGGTGTCCGTCTTTCTAAATCTGCTCACTAGCAAGTGCAATTACGGGACTTCACACTGTGTCGCAGGGAATGGCTCTCAAATACACACAGAGCCTCTGATTTTGAGCCTGATTGCCAGCCATTCTGCCCCGCGGAGGGACACTGAGGGTATCAGGCCTCTGTTTTCTCGAGTTCCTCTAAGAGAAGCCCTTAATCCCTGGCCTAGTCTGAACAAATATCTCTGCTAGGCACGCTCCGCAGAGCCCTAATCAAAACAGTCCAGAGGGGGACTAAGTTGTCTTTTCGGGTTCAAGTTTGCTTTAACCGTCATCGCCTCTGCATTTTAAAGAGAGATCTCAAAACCACAAAACAGATTTCCAAGGTTTTGTGACGAAGAGCGGTCAACAAAAACAGCCTTTGCGAAAAAGAAAGTACACCTTTCAATTCTCAGCTTTTACATATGAAAACAACTGTCAATTAAAAGATAAAAAAATACGAAAAATAATTCAAGTACCATCATGTCTTCAAAAAAGGTAAACACAACCAGAAGAACACCTGTGTGTGGCATTCCAATCATTAAATTGAGCTAAAAAGCTGAACTAGTGAAAAATAACCACATCCTTACCTCCTCTATTGGAATTAAGAGTGTAACAGAAAGTCAAATACTGCTAATCAAACACACTTGACTGGGAAACACCTGCGATCATGAAAGGGGTTTTAAGACCATCCATCCAACCTTTTTTCTATCTGCACTCAATTATATTCAAGGCCCTATGCTCGCTGCCTTTGGGCAAACGGCTGAACACCCTGGACAGGTTACCACAAAATTCAGCTCTGAATTGCTCTGTATACAAAAGTATTCTGGCATAAAGAATCATACGATAGGTCGTCAGTCTGACAGCTAAAGCTTGGCTGGAACTGAGACTTGGACAATGGCCAATGACCCGGAGCACAGCGGTAAATCTGCAACAGAACGTCTGAAAAACAAGAGTCAAATGTGGCAATGCAGTGCTCCGAATGGTTGGTAACAACCTAAGAAATCCATTCAGTAGCAAGTTTCTTTAAGTTTTTATTAACTGGAGCGAAAACGGAAAAACGTAGACCAAAATTTGCAATGGGTTTCCTCATCAATCTAAAGGGAG